CTTGTGAAATTAAACAAATACTACTCTCGATATATAAAATAATAATTAAATTTTAGTAAGATTTCACTTTTAAAATCATGTAAGATATGGACTTGAATAGGACTTCAAAGTGGTAGATGTTTTCCTTAACTATGGGATCTCCAAGTTTCCTTCCATTAATTATGAAAAGGATGCATCCGTTGGGTACCATCTTTGGATATTGACATTTCAAGAACAAAAGGAAGTCCTCTTGAAACTGAGAAAATCATGCCTTTCTTATTGCAGGAGGGTTGGTTTTTGATACATGGATAATACCTATTTATTGATTCGTATAAATATTAATATTTTATGATAATTTATTTTTATTTATATTGAATTTGATTATATTTCGTCAATATTATGATGTTTATAATTTTGTTTATTGTAAATTTAAACAATAGAATCATAATTTACTTGTATATATTTTAATTTGATCATATTAATAGTATTAATTGTATAAATAGGTTATAAATTATATAAATTTTAATCATATTAATTATGTTGTATAAAATTTAACTCGGCACATTTAATAATCCTATTAACCATGTCGTATCGTGTTATATATTTATTCAATATATCTGTATATATCTTTAAGATTCTAGCATAATTAATTTAAGATTCTAGCATAATTAATTAATCGTGTCGTATTTATCTTTAATATCTCATGTGTCGTGTTTATCTTTACTCGTATAACTATTAATATCTCATGTTTACGTAACATGACTAAAACATGAAAATATGAATTATCAGATTTAATTTTATTATATCATGAGACAAATCTCTACCAAACCCAATTTTCTCAACAAGTCACTTTCAATTTATTTATAGAAAATAGATATATAATTATATATATAGATTAAAAAATGCCACTTGACATCTTAATACCAAAAAAAAAAAAGTTTCACGAGATCATACCATTATTTTTTTTTCTTAATCAAAGATAAAGATTTTATTATCAAGAATTTGATACAAAATCTTGGCATAACCAAGAAACAGCGAAGACTTCGTACAAATCCTCTAACAAGCAAACTGCATAAATCCAAATAAACTCCATAATTCATACCATTTATTTATGCCATTGATTCTGATTCTTTGGCCAAATTCTTTCCTGAATGACCCAGAAATCAGCTTCAGGTCAGATTTTTTTCTTTTTCAGTACAACAGCAAGGCCAATGTTCTTGGTTGCTTCTTTTCCATGCTTGTAATCCTCAGCTAGAATTTCTTCGGCCTTATCATATAGCTTGTCCACCACCTCTTCCCCGAATTGGTGTGACAAAATGGGCTCCGTAAAGCATCTGTAGCATTTGATTCTTGATTCTGGGTTCATCCATCCATTTGGACCCCCAATCTCCAGTTCAATTGTGTCTATGAACTCGATTGTCAAAGAACCTTCCTTGTCTACCAAGTACTTAATTTCTTCTTGGGAGGGATTGTAGTAGGGTACATTGAAGGAATCTAATTTTCCTTCATCAACCAGTCCCTACAAAATGGACCAACAATGAGAACAAACAAGCCTAGTTGATTAAACAATCAAAATTTAGACCAAAAAAGAGTTGAAAATTTGGCATTTTACCTGTGATACCAGGTAGGATAAGGCCTCAGCAAGAAGATCCCATGGGTAGCAGGTATCTTTGTCTGTGGGATTTGCAGTTTGACGTCCATTGAAAATCAAGACCGCACGGCCATTAGGTGCCAGCTCTTGAGAGCGGAATTTCAAGAGAGAAGAGAAGTCTTCTTGGAACTGAGAAAGATATGCCTTCGTCACCGCAGGAGGGCTGGTTTTAGACATATAGATCTTCCCCTTGTTTAATGGTAACCCTGCTTCGTTTGTGATTTTTGGTGCCTTGAAAATTCGTCCAAAGTCGTTAATCATATAGGTTAATGTATTTTGCGAGAAGTAGTAATAAATTAAAGAAAAAGTGGCACACCTTTGAGAGCCAATGTACGCTATAACACGCATGTACAAGATGCATGGAGTTCCGAGGGAAAAGCTGACCATGGAAGGAACCAGGAGCGCCCATAGCAAACCATGAAACCTTCTTATATTTTTCTTGAACCACAGATAACCCTTTGAACAGTGTGTTGAAATCGTTTCCGACTAAATCATTCAAGTGAAACTGGATTTCTGGCATTTCGCGTCCCATTTCTCTGGATTTTTTCACTATGCTCTCTATCACTGTTGATATGAATTCAAGAGGTTGGGGACCTACAGCACACCCCAGGTCAGCTACGTTAACAACTTGAAGTGGGATTGAATGATCAGTTTCCGTGAAGAGAGATTGAACAGCTTTCTGAACTATCGGCTTGGTTATGGCCATCACTTTTATCTGCAATAAAAGAAAATTCTGTAACATGATTAGAAACTCAATGTTTCCATAACCAAAATAAACAAGTAAAAAGATATATAGATATAGAGAGAGAGAGAGGGTATAAGATCATATCGAGACCGTCATTGTTGCAGCTTTAACATAGCTATTTTCTCCTTCTCCGTTGTTCATGCAAAGTACTTCCTTCACGGCCTCCATCGTTTATCTCTGTATTGATCGTGTGATACCCCAACACTGGCACGCTTTCTAATATAGCCTTCCTTGCTTGAGACATTTTTCAACCGTCCCAGCTTATCATCATGTAAAACAATTTCTCCACGTGGGCTTAATATCACTAATCAGGAACACGAATCTTCAAAATAATCTTCAAAACAATTCAAAATAATTGAACGGTGGACAGACTAATCTGGAACACGAATCTTCATGCCATCACGTGTTTCATTCTTATTTAGTTAGAGGGATAACATACTTTATTTTGTTTCTCTGTCCACAAATCTAAATTGATTGTGTAATATCCTGACATTTCTCAATAGGTGAAGACAATTTTCAATCCTCCCAGCTCATCCGAAACGGTTCCCAAAGAAAAAAGATGGGAGAACCCATTCCAAAAAAAGGAAAGTTGATTTTATGCCGACATGGTGGAATTGTTTAGCATGATGAGGTAGGAGGATTGAAAAAAATAAAATTAAAAATCACGATTGAAACCAACACCATTTCCAAAGAGAAAACCCATGGTTGAAAGATGGAAGGATGGAAAAAAAAGGTTTTTAATTTTATTATTATTTTTCATTAATAGTATTTAATTTACTCTTTTTTTAATTAGAGGATATGTACAGGTTTATATTAATGAAATTCATGCTTTTCAAAAAAAAATATTACAGGATAATATATTTTACACTACAAACATCAAATAGACAATTCAAATTCATATATGAGACAGGGAAGGAGGGGAAAGATTTTTGTCCTGCTTTGCACTCCTTCCAATAGCTCCTTCTCTTTGAATAGCACAGGCTACAACGGTCCACACACCCTTCGACACTTGCTCCATTTAAGCTTGCAGTCCATGAAAATAACCATTAATACAATGACATCATATATAGGTTAGTACATGTACTTTGCCTGATCAAAATATGTAAGCAAGCGATTATAAATTAACATTCCTGGTTGCTTGATCATATCATATAACCCGTCCGTTACTTCTTCTCCAAGCAAGTAAAAAGATAGAGAGAGACGGGGTATAAGATCATATCGAGACCGTCATTGGTGCAGCCTTAACACAGCTATTTTCTCCTTCTCCTTTGTTCATGTAGAGTATTTCCTTCACGGCCTCCATTGGTTTTCTCTGTATTAATCGTGTGATATCCTGACACTGGCACGCTTTTCAATAGTGACTTCCTTGCTTGAGACGTCTTTCAACCCTCCCACCTCATCATGCAAAACAATTCCACCACGTGGGCATAATGTCTTCTTTACTATTTTGGTATAGCTTGTTCCCATGTTCTTCTTTGGGAAACGTTTCTGATGATCTGGGATATGACACCGATATGGGGAAAAAATTAAAAAATGATGTTCGTAGCCTTCTCAGGTTGTACCACGTCCTTCTGATTCGTTCACATACAAGTTAAAAACAAAACGTTTTAAGTCGTTTTCTATGAGATTTGGTAGCCCCATTTGTCCATTCCCGATGAAGTTAGTCTGGAAGGATCCATGTGATGTGACCTACCAAATTAACAAAAACTGATACATGAGGCAGAAGACTTTTGTACCAGGTTAGTGCGGTCCACTGTTCAATTGATGGTTTCTATATTTTTTGCTGCAGATCTAAATTGATTGTGTAATTCCTTAAAAGTATTTAAGACATTTAAATTTATTGATATTTTATATATTTATATTTCAAACGAGTTTCATATTAATATATATTAAAAGATAAGACCAAAGAAACAAAGAATTTTAAATAGAGTTGCAGTTCTGTTTGTTCTCTGCAGGGTTTCTTATTGTTTACTCTTAGCAAGATGCGAATTTCATCTTGGAACTTGAGTGGTTCAAGTTGTTCATTAAAAACTCAAAAAGTTTGTCGATGTGTCTGAACCAATAAGGTTAGTATGCTACTCTTGCAAGAACGGCAAGTTGTGGAGGAGTTCTTGGGAATTTTGCAGGGCTTGTTGTTGGTATTTTCTTTGGTCCTATCAGCTGCCAGAATTCTTTTGTTGCATACAATTATCTCAGCCAAAGAAGTCATGCATAGTGCCAAACTTGATCTAGTTTAGTAGGTTGAGTGAAAGGCCTTTCCTGGTTGTGTTCTAGTGTTGTGTTTTTCAGTAATCATGTACGAGTTATGGGTTGAGATGAGGGTTCCATTGGTTTGCTTAATTGGCAAGGATGTTCCGGGCAGAATGCTTTAGTCTGTTGTTGACTATGGTGTGGCTTGGGCTTAATGAGTTTTGTTTCAATTGCTGCTAATTTGTTTGCTGGAAGGTGTTGAGCTCTCCGATTTATACTTGTGTTGTGATGGTTTTTTGTTCTATATAGGCGGTTTATCCCCTGTTGGGTTGGTGTTTCTCCTTAAAGCTTTGGTCCTTTGCTCTGTGGCTCTCAGGCTATTTGTCATGTTTATTGACGCGTACCTTTGGAGGATAGACCTTTGATAGGTCTCGTTGTTCTATGTTACTTGGCTATGTCAAGATTCTGTATCAGTTTCATGATACTTAAAAAAAAAAATTTCATTTAATTGAGAAAAATAAAACGAAATTTGACAATATGACAAATTCTTTTGTGTCTATTAGATTAAATGATCCTAGATGTAAGTACTTGTTATAAAGTTTTGTTTAGATAATTATGAAAAGGGATTTTTGTGATAGGAAAAGGAAGCGTTGCAAATACGTAAAAGATAAGTCAGAGGTAACAAAGAGGAAGATCAAAGTAATTTCTGAAATATTGAGTGTTGTGCTAGGTAGAAGACAATAAAAAAAAATTATGGAGTAGAAGAGAATTAAAAATGTACAAGGAGTTCTTGTGATAGCGAAAGGAAGCATTGCAACAGAGAGGAAGATCGAAGTAATTTCTAAAATACTGAGTGTCGTGGCAAATAAAAGATAATAAGAAGAGAATTATGGAGTAAAAGAGAACTAAAGAGAGAATTTAGATAAAGAAGTTCTAGAGGAAAATGTGTTAGTTCCGAGCAGAAAAAAGTTCTCGAATGAATTATGAAAGTTGTATATATAGTGTAAAAAGTAGTGATTACAAGAAAAGGCTTTAGTGCATTTAATAAATGATATTATTAAAAAAAGTTTTAATGTTAGGTAATTGTTATTGAAAATTAATATTAAGTAACAATTAAAAACTCATTATGCATGTGACCGTTGGAGTAATTTTTTTTTTTGAAAGATTAAGTATCATTGAATATCAAATAAAACAAGGGAAAATTCCTTGATTTACAAAAAGAAGCCTTGGGGATTTTACACCATATGCTGGCAAGAAACCACAAGGCCTTTGGTAACAGCAAAACTATGACCTATTCACACTTACAAAACTTCTATAACAAGAAAAAGAGCGTGCTAAAAGGAACAAAGAAATGGGGCATAATCCATGTCTCCCCCATATTTCAAACTCGTAAACACCCAATACAACAAACAGTGGTGGCCCAACCACTTAACGATCTCGCCAATTTAGATGCATTGCCCAACATCAATTTCAATAACCAAACACTGTTATCCCAATCTTGAAAGGCATTAGGCACCCAAAGAACTCTTAAGGGTGAACATCCAACATACAAACAGTTGAGCTTTATCAGAAAACAACCACTCCTCAAAAGGATCAACAGCGGAGATCAACGTCAAGAAAGTGCTTGTACAGCACACTTTCATATAAAGTCCAGTACCACCAAGCCATAACAGGAGCAGCAAAGAGGAAGAGGAAAGACAACAAACTCTGCCAAACCTTTCGAACCTAAGAAAGGATAACACGAAGGCCCTTTCAACTTGAGTGGACCTAAGAAACAATCAAGGCATAACATTAATGATATCATGATCTCTAGCAACATCATTTTTGGCTAATTCATCAACTAAATGGTTAACACCTCTGGGGACATGTTAGACTTTCCAAGCCTTCAATTTCCATTCAAGATTTTCAATTCTAAATGTTGTTATCTGGCACTGCCACGGTGCCAAGTCAAGAGAAGAAACTCACTGGACAATATTAACCTAGGTAAAATAACCATGATAAATCACAAAACAGTAAAAGTAAAATTGTACAATTAATACAAATAAAACACGTCATTCTTTTTTCCTCAATCTTCAGTCTTTTCCAATCTTAAGCTGAAATCTTCATCAACAACAACAGCTTCAACTTATTTTTTGCTACTTTATGGCTTAATATATATTGTTCTATAAACCCTTTCGCTATAAAGGGTGAATCACGTGAAAGTGATAGTAAACTAACTTGCTATATTTGGGCCAAATTAATGCAACCTTTTGTTGCATACATCATCTTTTAAACATGGAATACTTCAAATCAGAGTACCCTTTATGACTTTAATTTTATTGACAAATATAGCTATTCATCAAAAACACTTTCTCTTCTTTCTTTTTTATATGGAAATCAAGATTTCTTCTCATTGATGTCTTTTTCTCTCAAAAGGATGGAAAAAGGGTGAAATTACATTTTACAAACGTTTGAGTTGGCATTCATTATTATTTGATTTTGAAACCCTTTTATAAAATGGGTTTTATTATCAAATGGCACTTTTTAAAATTAATTATATTATTATTTTAGAATAATATTATTATATTAAATTCATTGATTCACGATAATGTATTCCGACCAACACGTTAACAAAAGATATTACGTGATATGAAAATTTCTAAAATACTCGTGAGCAAAAACTTGAGTATACGCGCAAGTGAAGATATTGGCAATAGGTACATTTATAATTTACCTTATCACATTTACAAATTTCTATGGCTTGCTTGAAAGTATTGAAATTCATTAATTATCAATGTAGAAGGTAAAAAGTACAAAAATATTTTTTTAAAAAAGAAAAAAAAATAAAAATATGAATGTTAATAATAATAATAATATAATCGGATCTCGTCATAATAGATCAAATATGGCCCCGCCTTGGCCGAATCCGACCTTGTAGGACCGGGTCCGTGTAGCTCATGATCGACCCTTGTTGTTACGATTAAATTAATTAAAATTTTAAATAAATAATGAAAAAATATCTATAAGAGGC